TCGTACATTGTAAATCGATTTATAGATCTAGCTCGATTATATGTCTGTAGGAGCTCTATGCATAACTTATATAGAATGCAAATCGAATTTGATGCGTGTGACTATCTTGTTTGGTTTAATAAGGTGTTTATAAATATCTCTCGTTCTCATGAATTTCTTCAGTTCTGCCTTGTAATCGCAAAATGAATGACGTCTCGCGATTTTTTATGAATGAAAAAAGTAGTCCCGGTGTGACAGGTCACGGTTATCCAATCAAAACGAATAAAACAAGGTCAACCTTGTACGACGCACGTCACACTCCGTCGCAGTGGTGACTCTGCATAACACGAGGTACTATGCTAGCTGGCTGCCGGCCGCATGGAACTCTGGGTAGGAGAGTGGACACACGTGTGACGTACGGATTTAGTATCTTACCACCTGTATCTTCACCATGTGGGTAATAATGATGAATACCCTTTAAAGATTAAAACTGAACATTGGCGAATATGTACCACAATAAAAAGTTAGTGTGGTGAAAGTGTGAATGAAAAGATATGATCTGCTGACAACAAGACCTTTTTTATATGTAAGTAGCCTCAGAAACCTCTTACGCAAACACTTACTCTTGCAGGATCTGGACGGCCTTTTGGTCTTGCATGTAGATCGTTTCGACTTACAGCAGTGAGAGTGGCAGGATATCGACTTTATCACAGTTATAACATTAGCAGGATATAAATTTTGTCAAATACTGTTATAGCAGGATATCAAATCGCGTTGTGGCATTAGAGTGAGAGGGGTTCCACTCTATCAGATATACACGCAAGATTTGCAGGATATCGACGTAATCAGACAGCTTGTGAGAGTAGGAATTAGATGATATTTGGCATTAAAGTATAGTCAACATATAAGTTGGAAGTGAGCCTTTAAGTATGGATGGATAGGCCGGCGGAAAGTAGTAGTATACTATGTATCCCGCCATGGGGGAAAATAAATTTCTCAGCGGTTCAATAAATCCCTTTTACCTCGCCTCGTGCAAGTCAGGCTGCATTTGGATTTCTGAGGTAGACTAAATCCCTTATACCCCGCTTCGATTTCAAAAGCTTTTTTCCTCGAGTCAATACAAGAGACGTAACATAGCACAAATTAACCGAAGCTCAATCGAACAGCTGTTTTCTATCAATTTGATTTTGTTTTAATTCTTTTACAATGTCATATTAAAACATGTTCGTAAGATAAATGCATTGCAGCAGGCTCATAGTATAAAACCTAACCCATGTATCCCACTACAACTAGGGACGATATACTCAAAAAGTCCAAAATGAAAGCGTCCAATGGAAATTCGGGGCAAAGCATAGAATGTATAGTTCTTATTATTGATAACAATAATTGTATTTTGTATGTAAATGAATGTATTAGCGTTAAGTTATCTATAAGGTTGAGCAATTACTACATTGTTTAATCCTACATGAAAGTAGGTTATTATAGTATCTACTAGTGTCTACTTTAACCCATGGGACCGCCTCCATGGTCTAGTGGTAGAGTGTCCGCCCGGAGAGCGGAAGATCCGGGGTTCGATCCCCGGCCGCGTCATACCAAAAGACGTTAAAAGATGGTAATGTCTGGCGCTCAGCATTAAGGGGCTATTTTTACAAGGACTGGTCGGCTCGAAGTCAGTATACTGTGTCTGAGTGGGGTATTCATGTTAAACTGTGGCATGGTATCTCAGTGAGCTAGCACTATAAATCGGCATCAGTCTGGACTAGTACAAGCAGACACACACACACGTACATGCACGTCGCTATATAAGTGCAATAATCTTCGACGTTAAATCCAACGGCTCTAGGGGTTGTTGTTTCCTGTCTATAAGATCATTTGCCCTTTCAGCAAAACGATTGAGTTTGGGGCATATCATTGTAAGAACGTTTTTTTTAAGATTTGCCAAGAGCTATTATCTCCAGCCAGTGTTCCCTGGAACCATTGTGATGCCTGTGAGGATAGGTATAGAGGAAATAGTTATCGTTTTTCCTCATCTACAACCCTCACATCTCTTTAACCAAACCTCGGCTGCCAGTGGGTCTCTTCTGTATTAATGAGCCATGGGTAATATTGTAAGGAAACTGTTTTTGTAATTGTCTGAGCTTGGTTTCCATTCACTGAGTAACTGGAATGTGTACTGGAACCGGTGTAATGCTAGATTGGTTTGCTGGTGGGAGAGGGCAACTTTGCCCTATAGTTGCTGTGTGAGTGGGTGGGGTGTAAAAAATATCGGTTTGCAACAGGTACCGGTGTGAGTTTGTTGCAGGGGAAGTGAATGGTGACCATTCGAAGGGTAGTGGGGGTGGCCAATACTAGAGCTACTGGATGTTGTGGTCGTAGTAGTAGCCGACATTATCTGATTGGTTAAGAATCTCTGGCCCGACACGACCACTCCCCACAATGTCTAGCACGCTCATGATCCCGCTGCTCTCTGTGCAGTCGCCCATTTGGTGGTCTCCGGTTGTCTGTTGTCACCACCCAACGCCCTTGCCGGCACGCCAACTGCTTTCCTGCTATTCGATTCCCGACATGGGTACAATGTGTGAATACCATTTCTGGTGTCCCCCGCCGTGATATTGCTGGAATATTGCTACAAGCGGCGTAAAACCATACCCACTCACTCACTCACTTTCCTGCTACCATGCAGTCAAATGTGCTTTCTTTGTCGTTTTTTGCTGTTGTTTTTGCAGTCAATTGTGCAACCGCCACACAGTCAACTCACAACCCCTGCTGGAACCCTCACAGCCTCACAGTCAATCGTAGCTCACAGGGGAAATCTTACCCGCATCAATCCACCACGTGTCCAAGGTGTTTTAACATTAATTAACGGTAATTTGAAGGTCATTTGCGTTCTGGTTTAATCGCCGACATCTGGATTGACGTACCTTCACCTGAGTATATACATATACCCTTGTTCTTTAATCCTGACTATTCGTGATGTGGGATTTTACTCAAATCCCTTATTTGGCCCTCTGTTAGGTTTCCAGGAATTTGAACGTCACTTCCCAAGACCCATTTATATTCGATACTACGAACGGTACCTGGCTGGCTCTTAAGATATTTCGAAGACGTATTACTCTCATCATGTTTTGTGGCCTGAGTTTCCACCTATGCCCTCACCTAAGAGCGCTGTATACCTACTCACAATATCGCCAATACATACACACACACACACACACACACACACACACACGCACACGCACACGCACACACGCACACACACACACATATATATTGTTTGACAGTCAACCGTTTGTTCATGCACTTGATTATCTTCCTGGTTTCTCAACACCATACCCGTTCTCATGATTTTTCTGGAATACCGTTCCAGGTGGCGTTAAACCCAACTCACTCACTCACTTTGTGAATATGACTATGTCTACAGTGTATTTTAGCTGTATGTCATTGTGATAATGACATTAAATTCATGTATTTAAGTTTGTGACAAATATTTGTTTGTTAGGGAAATACACTTACAGGCAAAAGAAACTTTACGAAGCAAGGAGTGACGATCATTGAAAGAAGAGACAAGGACATATGAATTTGTTAAATGGCACGTTCATAAAATAACGCATATAGGGGCACAATCATGAGAGTGGGGTAAGTTGTCCGGCATTCGATCATTCACGAACGCATTTATAAACCGTTGAAGGTCTCTAACGTGTAATCAACCTATAGTGATTGTCGTGTGTTTACAACCGAAACCCTTGACATCATACCTATTAAACTTTCTTTCTATTCGTTTGATGATAGCCTTTGCAGGGCCGTTTGGTTTTTTACGCTGATTTGTTAGTATGGTTAAACGTTTTGATACATTCCGAATGCGTTACACGAACAATTCCGAATGACAGACCGGATATTGAGGGGGCCGACGGGAGTTAGATCAAGGAAACACGCATGTCCGTCTGGGTGGAATAAAGGTGTCAACATTAATAGACGACTTGAGATGATATGTCCTTTCCTGATGGTCATCAGGGCACTGATTTGGGTGAAACAGAAGACAGCTACACTACCCTTATTCCCTGATTATCCAAATAACATCGTGTTGCACGTGCATAAAACGTTTACGGTTAATGTCATTTTTCACGAATTCACGTGACCAGATTGTGGCTTTCAGATCGAAACATTCGTTTAGGTAATTAATTTACAGCGGTCTTTAACTACATTTTGATTTGAATTAAGACACACTTTATAAAGTTTCATTTCCTGAATTGTTGAACCGTGAAGATCCGGGGTAGAATGGGTCTTCAGCATGCCATGTTTGCCGTAAAAGGCTTCTCTGCTTGGCGTAAAAGGCGACTAACGGGATCGGGTGGTCAGGCTCACTGACTTGGTTGATGCATGTGATCGTAGCCCAATTTCGTGGATCGATGCTCATGATGTCAATCACTGGATTGTCTGGTCCAGACTCGATTATTTACATACCACCGTCACATGGTTGGAATATTGCCGAGTGGGGCGTTAAGAACAAACAAACAAACGAACAAATCTTATTCACCCAGGAAATATGTGCATAATCCTGAAAGTTAAAGAGATTTAACGTAATTCCTTGAAATCGTGTTGCTGTTGTTTTAAGTTTAAGGTCTAGTTTATCTGTATTATATAAAAAAGTGCATTTTACTGCTAAAATATATTCACGCCTGCAACCAAAATGGGTCATGCGATTTTTATTTAATCAAAGACTTCTCCTGAGATCTCAACCTTCCTGTTAGCTTTGCTTCGTGATGTGTACTGATATACTGTAAAAACGTCAGCGCATTTCAAACGCAATACCAACTATTGATGCTAGCTTCACCTCAGCACGTGTCGCGTGACATGTAACACAAAGCTCATCACAGCGATAACCCTTTTGTGGGTCCCTCTATAATATGATATCTGGAGGGTAAAGAATGTGTCACGCGCTGGGAAGGAGCTTGCATGCATTGCATATTGCTGCATGGAGCTATATGAATGACGCCCCCTGATAAAGTCGAACATTTCCTGAGAAAAGAATATTTCCCTCTGTGAATAGCGTGGATGAACGAGTAAGTGAGACGTGGGAAGCAATCGTCATGAAGTTATATACGAACTAATTTGAAGTTAAACTGACAGTGCTGGGCGCTGGTGAGTATGACGTCAGTTTGCTTCATTACTGTTAATCCTTCAAGGGGATATCGTCTTCTGTACCCACCACTCCAGAAGCACGTAATCATTCCAGTCGACGTGGCTAGTTTCACTTATAGTTTGGAGACAGGTATGGTTATTTACCTTTGTCTAATTGAAAGACAAATTAAGACCACTGCACAACATACACATTCGAGCGGAATAACTTTAACAATAACTCTACAAATTAACTTTCCAAAGTTTACACGAGAGCCGCGTACTACAAAATCGTAGCCTTTTTTAACTAAATATTTTTGGATCATAGTTTACAAGCAGAATATCTACTCCACAAGTATTTGGTCTGAAGCCGGATTGCAGATAACGTTATTTTTATCACACCACAACTCTATTGTCTTTTCCAAAACAGAGTATTTTACAAAATTAGTCAATGAGGGATATTCGTTTTTAATTATGAGGCTTCCTTCCTTGTGTAGTGGTCATATAACACTGTTTCCCCACTGGAGAGGGAATGTTCCACGTCAAACAATGTATTAAACAGTTTTGTTAGCGTTCGATTTACACTACCGTTCAATTGATATAGTCATGGTTATTTTATGACTACTTCTTCCTCTTTTTATGATTTTCCGATAACACCTAGCGTCCTATCTTGCATTTTTAATAGGGACTGTTCTTTTCAGTTCCAAATACTCTTTTATTTTTTTTCAGAAAGACAGCTTTTTCAAATAATTTCATGAACTCCTAAAGCATCAAAGTTTGTATTGGTAGCTCTACAAGCCCTCAAGGTCTTCTGTTTTAGACACTCTTGTGCTTTGTGATGTGTTAAATGTTGGGTAGCCATGTAAATAATCTGACAAGTCATTATCATAATGATCGAAAGAGTCACATAAACCAATAAACTCATAATTGGCACATCATTGGTTAAGATCTGAAACTATGGTTTATAGATTTCTTTAACATTCTTAAATAATATTTTGCAATGAAACAAGCCCTGACCAATACATTACATATTTTTGCCTGTGTTTACATCCTCAGTGTCAGAGTTTGATGATCGGATGGGAGTTGTCTCCCCTGAAGAGTGTTCATCATATGTAAACAAGGTTGAATCAGCTGCTTTGTCAATTTTTTGTCCTCTCAGCTGCTCCCGGGCGATCATTTACACACATATCACAGTGTCTGATTTCCGATCACATAAATAAACAACCAGTGAATAGCTTCTTGTGTCTTATCCTTGTTTGACCCCCCATTTTAGCGCTTCTGAAAAAACGAGACAGGGGATGTCGTTCACACTTTTGTTGTTGTATTCTCAGTCACTAAATAGTCTTCTCCTTGCAGACAAGTGTAAATTGGCGTGATCCCATTACCAAAAGCTTTGAATACACAATGCCATTTAGAAAGTGGTCAAATGTAACCAATGTTATACTTGGGATAACACTTTCTTAGTAAAGTACAGATCTACACTACCATGAATATGACCTTCCAATGGCAGTGGACAAATAATACAGAAAATGAGAATGTGTTTAACCATGGTAACAGATATTTATCATCCAAAACTGGCTCCCACAGGAGATATTGCTTGGGTGAGATCAAGTGATATCTACAGTGTAGATATCGCTGCAATAAAATTACATCACAATGCTTTGCAGACCATTGTGACGTCACTGGTAACCATGACATCACTAATGGCTCTGCTACTGAAGCTGTTTGCAGTACTTTTTACACCGAAGACACTGCTAATTACTGTCTACAAATTGAAAAAGTTGAAAGAATGATGTTGGATGATAAAAAAAATCTCACCCTCGTGTCTTTTGATATCAAATATATCAACACTCGTTGATAAAAGTGGCAAAACTCCTTGGTAAGCCTCAGAACTTTCCCACTTTTATCAACTCGTGTTGATATATTGGATATCAAAAGACACTTGGGTGAGATTCTCTATATATAAAAAATGTTTTAATGAATTTGTTATTTTTTTCAAAATGTTAACAAAAATGTCAAATAGGAATTTTCACACATGGAGTATTTGTTCTGATGGGAATTGCAAGTATTTGTGCCAAAATTCATGTATCCCTCTCTCTGCAGATCATAGGGAATGCAAGTAACACATACATCGCTTGTTGTTACTCTCTATCCAGGTCCCCATACAACCATGGTTCTCATTCTGGTTATAGTAGTAAGTCCCTTTAGCCCCCATTTGTTGTCTTTCTGTGTAGCAAAAACATTTGAATTAGAGATCATTCTGGTTTGGGGCCCAAATACTGCAGTCTTCCCGGGTCATATACCGTATTCGACGTAACAAGCGCCCCGCTCTAATAAGCGCCCACGGCGATATTTGCTAATATATTGGCTAGTGAATAATCCCAATTAGCACCCCTTCCGATTGATCGATGTACACAAGACTTATTTATTCGCGGATAATAATGTGTTATATGCACCCTTAATTATGGGCAATTAAATTCTGGAAAAATATATCTGTCGTATATAAACATTTCAGGCTGTCAGCGTAAACCACGACATTTACGATCTTTAAACTCTGTTTTTTTCTCACCAAAATAATATTCTAATAAGATCCCGCTATTTCTTATTTTGAGAGCGCCCTGGGCGCTTATTACATCGAATACGGTAGTTTCCGGAGTAGAGAAAATTCATATGGGAAAATATTCCAGTGTTAGTAAGATAGAGGCTGTGGAAGTTATATCCTTGGTAAACTTTTCCTCTGGAAAGAAACTCAAGGGGGGAATAGATACCCTGTGACACATGTTCCATACACCCCCATCAAATAATCAGGAGCTAATTCCTCTTAATCATTCAGAGTTTCTCAGTTGGGATGGAGGGGAAAAGGAAGAGCTGTGATAATGATGGACAACCTGAAACAAAGCAAGCCAGATCAGAAACCACAAGGACATCAGATGTTTCTTCAGGTTTGTATATACATACAATTAAAGATCATACATTATCATATGAATATGCAGGTCCACAGTTGCAGGACTCTGTTAAACCAGAGTTGATTCTAAATATACTTGCTACCTTTTCACATTGTTATAGTTTGCTTAAAGGCAAAATGCTTAATTACCGACGACCATGCCTTCCACTTGTTCGTGTTGCTCCGGTAATGTTTTAGATTTTCATTCATCCATTTCCTGTAATAACTATAAAAGCTCAGTGCGCGTGCAGTCCACACTTTCAACTTCAAAATGAAGAGTCAACAATAATTTTCATCTGCAACATTTAATTATCCGAACTTGTGACGCGCCCCCAACTTTTATTGTGTGGGAAAACTGTTTAAATGCGAAATTTGTCACAGATACTAGTCAACTATAAACATTTTACTCCAAAGGTGAACACTCTGTTGAAATGGACACTGCAGAGATCGGTGAGACGGGCGATCTGTCGGCGGGGATCATATCCAAAGGAAGTCAGAGGGAGCATGCCAGCGACTCAACAGAGAGTTCTAGTTCAGAATCAGAGTTGGAGAGGGAAAAGGAACGTCTCCTCGCTGAAGACAAGCGCCTGACTAGATCCTGCAGAAAACAACAACTCCGGGCTGAAATCAATGAGCTACAAGCTTCAGTAGAGAATAAAAAGGTCAAGAAACAGGCAAGTGTGAAACACAGGTTCCTGACGGAAATAGTTTCAACTAAAGAGGTAAACCCAGATGGTGTAAATAATAGTGAACATGGGTAACACACACACACACACACACACACACACACACACATGCCTTCACCACCCACCTACACCTACCCCCCCCCCCAACACACGCCAGCGACCCGTGAAGATCCGGGCTAGAATAGGTCTTCAGCAACCCATGCTTGCCATTAAAGGTGACTATGCTAGTAAACTATAAACATTTTACTCCAAAGGTGAACACTCTGTTGAAATGGACACTGTAGAGATCGGTGAGACGGGGAGAGATCGGTATGACGGCGGGGATCATATATAAAGGAAGTCAGAGGGAGCATGCCAGCGACGCAACAGAGATCCCAATTGCTTGGATCGTTGCTCATGATGTCAATCACTGCATTGTTTTGTCCAGACTCGATTCTTTACAGACTGCCGTCATATTGCTGGAATATTGCTGAGTGCAGTTTTAACCAACAAACCAACCAACCAACCAACTACACACGCCAGCACACACGCACGGACGCACGCACGCAGGCACGCACACCCACACCCACATGCCAGCACCCACCCACGCACACACACACACACACACACACACACACACACACACACACACACACACACACACACACACACACACACACACACACACACGCCAGCACACACACAGAGGTAACACACACCCACACACAGACAGACACACACTTTGTGGTGACAATATTTAAAGTTGGCAGATTGCTGAATGTTCCATAAACTCCAATCAAATAATATCTCATTCCTCTTCAATATTCAGAGTTTCTTATTTGGGATGGAGGTGAAAAGCAAGAGGAGTGACATTGACAAACGACCTGAAACAACACCAGCCAGATTAGATAGCCTGCCAGAAGCCATCAGGACATCATATGTTTCTTCAGGTGTGTATACGTAGTTATGTAGTGTACATATAATAAAGCCATGTCTTGTAGCTGGCTTCATAAGTGTACATATAATAATGCTGTGTCTTGTAGCTGGCTACATAAGTGTACATATAATAATGCTGTATCTTGTAGCTGGCTACATAGGTGTACATATAATAATGCCCTGTCTTGTAGCTGGCTACATAAGTGTACATATAATAATGCTGTGTCTTGTAGCTGGCTACATAAGTGTACATATAATAATGCTGTGTCTTGTAGCTGGCTACATAAGTGTACATATAATAATGCTGTGTCTTGTAGCTGGCTACATAAGTGTACATATAATAATGCTGTGTCTTGTAGCTGGCTACATAAGTGTACATATAATAATGCTGTGTCTTGTAGCTGGCTACATAAGTGTACATATAATAATGCTGTATCTTGAAGCTGGCTACATAAGTGTACATATAATAATGCTGTGTCTTGTAGCTGGCTACATAAGTGTACATATAATAATGCTGTGTCTTGTAGCTGGCTACATAAGTGTACATATAATAATGCCCTGTCTTGTAGATGGCTTTATAAGTGTACATATAATAATGCCGTGTCTTGTAGATGGCTACATAAGTGTACATATAATAATGCCGTGTCTTGTAGCTGGCTACATAAGTGTACATATAATAATGCTGTGTCTTGTAGCTGGCTACATAAGTGTACATATAATAATGTCCTGTCTTGTAGCTGGCTACATAAGTGTACATATAATAATACTGTGTCTTGTAGCTGGCTACATAAGAGTACACATAATAATGCCATGTCTTGTAGCTGGCTACATAAGTGTACATATAATAATGCTGTGTCTTGTAGCTGGCTACATAAGTGTACATATAATAATGCTGCGTCTTGTAGCTAGCTACATAAGTGTACATATAATAATGCCGTGTCTTGTAGCTAGCTACATAAGTGTACATATAATAATGCCATGTCTTGTAGCTAGCTACATAAGTGTACATATAATAATGCTGCGTCTTGTAGCTAGCTACATAAGTGTACATATAATAATGCTGTGTCTTGTAGCTAGCTACATAGGTGTACATATAATAATGCTGTGTCTTGTAGCTGGCTACATAAGTGTACATATAATAATGCTGTGTCTTGTAGCTGGCTACATAAGTGTACATATAATAATGTCCTGTCTTGTAGCTGGCTACATCAGGCCACAAAGTTAAAAAAAATTCAAAGGAGCCAATTGGCTCCTAAATTTTTTTTTCAAGAAGCCAAATAGAATTTCAATGAGCCAAGGCAAAATGTAAGGAGCCAAAAGTAATGACTTTAATCTAACTGAGCTTCTGCATAACAAAACACAAAGAAAATCCATTAGTTTGAATAATCAGTTTTATATCATGAACAACAACTGTGGTTGAAGCTTTTAAGTTTTTCAGACAAACAAGCTTTAGAACATTGTGTCAGTAACATCATCAGACAAGCTTTAGGACATTGTGTCAGTAAATCCATCAGATAAGCTTAAGAACATTGTGTCAGTAACATCATCTGACAGTTTACCGGTGCCAGTTGCAGGTTTTGTTTCATTGAACGTGTCGACAGACGATGAAACTTCCGTGTCAGCTTCGCCATTCAAAGCATTCCATATTTTCTTGAGTATACTGCGCATTTTTAAAAAAACAAACCCACAGCTGTGTAGATGGGGGTGCGCATTATACACAAAATAAGGAGTTTTGGTGTTTTCCCCCCATGGAAAGACATTACCGTGAGCACGTAACACCGGAAATACCATGTCAACAAATCCATACTGAAGTACGCAAATTAATTATGTAACTACACTGTCTGACTATAAAAAGTGTTCTTTGTATATCTGGACTTATGTAACTTATTTCATTAATTTTATTCAAAATTACTTTTAATGTTGATGGTAATTGGATATTTTAGTTTGTGCAACAACAACAGTACTTAAGCGTTCATATTTAATATGCCAATTACAGGTCAATCACCTCATTACGTTTATATTCAACACGATTTCTTAACTCTGTCACCCGATTGTGCTTTTTATGCCGTCTGGATCATGTTACAGTAATTACATCCCACAATGCACTTCTAGACAGTCTGCACATGCCCAGTAAGACGGACATGACGTCACAGTGTTTACCTTTATTAACCCTGCAGCCCCGCACGAGGTTACTTTCTACATTGTCGCAAGCCACTCAACTGCGTTACTGTTATATGCTTCGGTGCTAAATCACGAGTCAAGTCAAGCCATCCGATCTCGGGTTTCGCGATACTCAGCTAACCAAGACTAATAATGGCGGAGAGGAGACATAGACAAGCCAGAAGTCAGTTAATGATCTCGACTCCGCACAGCCTGAAGAAAACCCCGATAGCCTCGAACCCCGCGCCACTGCTGCCAGTGCCAGTCGTACTACAGGGAGAATCAGCAGTCAATCGTATCTGACCGTGGCCCAGCTACGCAAACAACTGGCAGAACGGGGCGTGAGGGTTCCAAATAATTGGCCTAGGAAAAGCTTGCTGCAGTTGTTCCAAGAAAACTAACAACAACGGCCAGTAGCAGCGACGGTGACCTCGTCGGACAGTTACGACCCGAGTGCCATTTCGTCTCCGGCGGCCACACTTCCGGGGGTGGTCGAAGCCAGCATACATCACAGGAACCCAGATGCCCTCGTTAGTGGGACCACGCTACCCTACAGTGTCATATCGGACTTCGGGGACGATGTTACCAATTCCGTGTCACCTGTTAGTGTTGCCAGCCTACAAAGCGAACTTGCAGAGCTAAAACACATGATAGCGAACATGACCAGCCATAACGCAGTGCCCACCGAGTACGCAGCTACAAGCCTACCGGATCACCTCAGCCATGATGTGCCGTCGGATTCGTTGCCCCACATCCACACAGTCGCGCCAGCGCTCAAGAAGAAGATTAAAGATGGCAAGTACTGTAACCTGGCCTTGCTATTGATACCTAATCAAGACACTCTAGACGCTAGAATGGCCGAATATGATGGCAATGTATATCATTTAAAGGAGGATGCTAGGCTAAATCGCACTCTTACACTAGCAGAATTCATACAGGCCTTTGGCATTTACAAGGACATTCTTTGTGACATCAATAACGCCAAACGGAAACAATTGGACGGACACGAGCAAACTGTCATCGAACTGGCTACGTTGTATGGGGGCTCTGCGCACTATGTCTACCACAAGTTATTTGCTGCCAGAGTGGCGTCCTATGCAGAACAAGGTTGCAGCATTCGCTGGGATATGAGGGACACACGTCTGTACGGGACAAAAACGACACCAGGGGACGACCTAGAGTTAGGTCAAACGGAAGGGAGGTCTGCAATAATTTCAATCACCAGGGCTGTGTGAGAGTGAACTGTGCATACCTTCATGTATGTCTCAATTGTCATGCCCCAAACCACGGACAGGCAACTCGCGCCAAGGCTCCCAAATCGAGACGGGACAACCAAGCTTGACTAACTTTCCCGGATATAACCAGAGAAGAGGACGTAGGCACCTTAACAGTCCAACTCACTCCCATCAATGTTCAGGCTATACAGGCAGAACTCGCCTCTCATCCCCATCCTCCATTTGCTACATATCTCGTCAACGGCTTGCAACATGGCTTCGACCCCTTAATGTCGGATGTTCCACAGTCCACAACGGAATGTAAAAACAATCGTAGTGCTACATTGGATCCAATAGTTGTGACTAAGGCAGTGCAAACAGAAGTCGATAAAGGGTACGTTATAGGACCTTTCCAGCGGGCTCCATACCCTGTTTACAGAATTAACCCCTTAGGAGTTGCCACGGGCAAGTACTCGGGCAAGAAGAGGCTAATCCTTGATCTGTCAGCCCCACATAACTCGGAACATACCGCAAGTATCAATGATCTCATTAGTAAAGAATCTGACCATAGACTATGCTATTGCAGTTATTAGGCAACTGGGACATGGTGCACAAATGTGTAAGGTGGACATTACCGACGCATTCAAACAGATTCCGCTGCACCCCAGGTACTGGCCGTTCTTTGGTTTCCGATGGGACGATAGGTACTACTTCTACACTAGATTGGCGTTCGGGTGCAGATCCAGTCCAAAGATTTTCGATACCCTATCACAAGCCGTGTGCTGG